GTAGAAAAACTACACGACAAAGAAATCCCGAGTATAGAAAGAAAGTTTTCATACAATCTACGTCCCACTATTTTTGTCCATTTTTATATTTGTCCTTCCCACAATTTCTGTCACATACCATATTTGGTGATGTTTGTGTTCATTTTTAGCATCAATATCCACCAAACAAGCTTATTTTTCTTAACTTCCGTGACACTCCCTCGTGTCCAAGGAATAGTGGGGTGGAGGGAGTAAGATATATGAGGGGGCACCCGATGCAGAATTAGCATGGAAGCAGAATAAAACAACAAAGATGCAATATCTAATCTAGCGGGATTATCACAGGTGATCCCAAATCCCAATAGTACACTATGGAGGGTTGTGTTAAACCTTATTCCATCTGCATGTCTTCCAAAGATCATATGAATACACTTCTCTGAAATAATAAAAGAGTATCCTTTTCTAAACTGATTATTGAACAGAGGAAACTACCCCTGTTCCGGAGGGATTTTCCACCTTGGGAGGGCACACACATTAAGCAGAAGAATGTTATTTATTGAAATGGACACTTTTGCCCTTTGGAAAGAGTGGTACAAAGACCTAAAGCAAGATCAAAAGGTTAAGAAGGCTAACTTCATCATTTCAGAATTATCAATGGGCGATTGAGTGATTCCCAATAGTTGTCTTATTAAAATTAAAAGAACCGTACCCAAGTGAAACATAACTTTTTTTATATGATGGAGATAGTATATTGCATGCTTATTTAAGCCCATAATCCATAAAACATTACTTAACAGAGCTTAGGTATACATTATTCAAATCATGTACAGACATAAAAAGTGAACACATACATACCTGACATTGAAGTGCCTAAAACTTTCATCCTACTCTTCAGAACAGCATGTGCAGGCGAGGGCAGTAAAGTAAAGTTAAGCTGATCATAGATACATAAGCCAGCTGCACCCTGTAATGGACATGCCAAATTTGTGAAATTGCACAAACCTATGTATGATTTCAAGTGTTTGTCTCCAGTGGTGGATC